AACATGAACATCACGATCTCGTGCACCGCGCAGCAAAACGCGGCCGCGCCGCCCAGCACGCCTACGTGTGCGCCCAACCGACATGTCAGCTGCTTTGGCCATCCAATCGTGTTTTGTCTGTGTCGTGTCGTGTCGTGTCGCGTGTGCGGTGTGCGTGAGTACCGACGAGCGAGAGCCAGTCGTAGGTGACCACCTGCGAGTAGCAGCCCACGGCGAACGACGAATACGAGAACGTGATCAACACACTGCCGATCGTAGTACCTGCCCACAGTAAGCATTATCACCAATCAGCCTCACGTCAATAAAAATGCAATAATAGAAAATGAAAAGAGGCATGACGCACTGGAGGCGGAAGAGGAGGAGGTCGACGGGTAGAAGGTGATGGCCGAGGGTCCGCTTAGGTAGACGTCCTCCTCCTGGGTGAGCACCGTCCAGTAGTCCGTGTACGGCACCACCAGGAAGCTGGGCGAATCGTCCGATGGCGCCTGGAAACAGTAATTCGTTAATGGCGTGTCGTGTGTCGTGTGTCGTGTGTCGTGTGTCGTGTGTCGTGTGTCGTGTGTCGTGTGATATTGTGGTGGGCGTACTTCGGGGCTAACGCGAGCTCGCGGAGAGTAGAGGATGACCGCGTACGGAGTCGCGGGTCCGATTGGTAGAACCGCCAGGGTAAAACCGATCTATGGGTAGACGCGCACCAGAGTGGTGGTGAGTAGGTCTGGACACATTCACGCACGCACGCACGCACGCACGCACGCACGCACGCACGCACGCACGCACACACGGCCACATGCGCACGACCACACGTAGAGTGTGCATGTGAGTACCTCCATGAAGGTATGCTCCTCGATGGTGGCGGTTACGGTGGCGCTCGTGTCGTCGTTGAAGAGCGCGCATTCGTGGTCTTTAAAGCGTCCTTCAGTTGGCTGGTGTGTGCCACGATAAGGCAAGAAGAAGAAGAAGAAGAAAATCAGTTTAAATAAGCCATCAACCAACAGCACGACAAAGGTGAAGAAGAAGGAGAAGAAGAGGAGGAAGAGGAATAAACCCGAACTGCAGTGGCGGAACAGAATCGTCTGGTGGTCTGAGTCTCGTTGAACTGTCTGCAGCCCACGGCCTTGATGCTGGAGAGAACCGGAGGCGTGATGAGTCCCACAAGACTGGCGAGGAGCGACTAGCCGGCGACGTACTCGAAAGGGTCGCTCTTCCTGGTCATGGGGCAGACCAGCACCGTGGGAAAGTCCAAACTCTCGGAGAACTTGACGCCTGCCGACCTGCAGTGACAATCACAGCAGTTCAGCACTCACACGCACCGCACAAGCGCACACAGCGGCACACGCACCAATCGGGATTAGTGTAGGACAGGTAGCTGAGGTAGACCTGGTAGCCGGTGTAGGCCAGGAAGCAAAGCAGCAGCAACACCCACAACGCCTACACTCCATGTGTTATATATATATATTGTTTAATGGAGCCAGTACCACGGCAGTGGCAGTCAGAGGTTGTGGAGAAAAAG